CGGCTTGGTAACGTGAGCTGGTGCCTCTCCTCGCCCTTTCTTTCCCCTTCGTGCGCGCGGAGCAAAACGGACCCAAACGCGTGTGGCGCTAGAGGTTCTCATGTCACAGGAAATTCTGAGGCTGCTGTGCTGGGAGCCAAAACCAAAGAATCAAACAGCATGAAAATAGCTGCTTTAAATGTTCATTTTTTTAATATCCTCTATACAGACTACTGGCCTCGTAGGATTAGCTGTAGCTGAAAACCCTCACGAGGTATGTTGCAAGTTATTCTATATTTAACTGAAATTGAAAGGCGGAGTAAAGGTTTTTTTTTTTTTCGGTTGTGCATGCATATGCATTGAGTCCCTTAAAGAGATGACAGATTAAATGATAGCTTGTAAAAGTGTACCAAAGTGAATAAGAAAGAAAATTTATTTCCTAAAATATTATTTCAGATCACAGGGCATTATTTTGTATATGTGTTTTTGTTGCATGTGCTCGCTTCAAAAGCCTTCCTTCCTGCAAGTTCTTTTCTGAGCCCGTTTTTGATCTATCTCTTACAGTCCTACAGCTCAAAAGCAATAAATAAATATTTAAATTCAGCCCTTTATAAATGTGATTACTAGTTCACAAGCATACAGTTTTTTCCCACCTCACAATTTTGTTTCCAGTAAGTACCTAAATAAGTTATACCTGATCGAAGTGGGTGGGATAACTTTACCTGATAGGCACATTGCTCAGAGGCTAGCCGTTTGATGGCAAATCAGATGAAGGCTCTGTGATGGCAAGCACTGATGAGACGGAAATATCTCAGCAGTTCTTGGGAACCAGATTAGCTGGTTAATGAGCAGTTTGGTAATTTCTTATTATCTCATTAGGACAAGTATGTTTGCCACATCTTGCTTGTTCATACAGGAGATAGAAGCTTTGAAAGAACTTCTGCATTTTTTTATTTTCTCCTTGTTTGAAATTTCCTGCTGTGCAACAATTCTATGTAAAGTATACCACCAATTTTTAAGAATAGTGTCAGAAATTACCTTTGTAAGAACTATTATTATTCTCTGTAAATGATTCTAGTTTAGTCTACAGGCTTGTTAGAAACCTTCTGAGTGAACTTACTGAATTTTGTTTTTCAGTGATTTAGGGTCCTGACTAAAGGAATCATCAAAGCTTTAGTTTATGTCTATTCTGTGTTAGTCCCTCTCTCACTTCCTGTTGTTTATTTATATTTCTCTTTACTACAGTATTCTGCTTCTGTTTCTTGTTCTTCTGTTTCTTATTCTTCGTATAGGACTTCCACTCCTCTTCAGTTAGATACTGTTACCAAGTCAGCATATGTCCCAAAAGCTGTAATTTCTTCATCATCCCAATATGTCCTTTATCGTTGTATTTAAATTTAGCAATAAAGTGGGTTCAGGTTTTAGTTTTATTCGTGAATTTTGAATTTTACACCAGCACAATGAGAGGTGCAAAAAAAAAAAAAACTACCAAAAACTATAGTTATATTTTTGGTTATATGCATCTTTTTATATTCCCAAACGATTTTTCTGAAAGTAATGGTTTAGAGTTGAATCTATCTGATTTATGAGGAATATGATTATACTGGAAATACAAAATTGAAACAAAATACTGTATCTGATATACTTCAAATTACAATACCATTTTATTTTTTGAGGAAGCTGCCAGTGATATCTTCCCAATCCTGATAAATCCCAGTTCAGTGCAAGATAGAGTTGTGTGGTTCAGACTTAGCTATTTTATTTCAGTCACTTCAGATCCAAATACGTTCAGTACTTTAGAGGTGCTGCATAGGTACTTAAGTAGGTTAAGTAGGACAGGTCATTAAATAAGTCCAGTTATATATTTTAACCATGTCTTGTGATCACAGCGCCTGCGAATATTGTACACAAAAATTCTCGCTGTCCTGCAAAACATTCCCAAAGATGCAGCATATAGGAAATACACTGAGCAGATTGTAAATCAACGGATTAATTTGGTGCAAACCGTAAGTACAGTGCTGTTTCATAAATATCACATTTGAAAAAGATTTTAGAATATGAAGAATGACTTTTGAAATGACTGACTGTTTTCCAGGGGTATGAGCAACTTTGAGATGTTAATTCAGAAACCATTGAGGTCCCAATTTATTTTTGTTATTGACTAGAATATTTTCAATGGAATATTAAAAATAGCTTTTAGTTTCTGTTACTGATACTTTCTGGGAAAATTAGCAGAAAAAATAGTTTTCTGAAGATTTGTAGAACAGTGGTAATTGCCACACATTTCTATCTGAAAATCCATGTGCTGTTAGCACAATCTTCATATTTGACATTCTAAAACACTTAGTGGGTGCAGTAAGCTATGTAATACTGGTGTTGTATTTAAGGTGATAATTAGAGGGTTGTGTATCATTTCCCCCCCCCCCCCCCCCAAAAAAAAAAATATCTTTCAAGTTGTGTACTCCAGCCCTTAGCTGCTCCTTTGGATGTCATTAAAAATTACTTTTCAGTATTTATTGTTGAGAACTTGACGTTTTGTTTACAATAAGAAAAACGTATGAGCCTTCTTTGATAGTGTAAAATGATGGAAGCGAGCTAATTTGATGGTATTTTTGAGGAAAACTGGAGTATGATCTATTTAATTGATTTCTTTCGTGCTGTACCTGTGTTTTCTACTTCTAAGTAAAACTAAACACATACGTATTTGAATACACAGGAAACTGACGTGGAAAAACTACAAGACAAACTGAATAGTGGTCACATAGAAGAAGTCATTGTACAGGTAAAATTGGGCCTTTTAAGATTAGTTACAAGTTGGAGCAGTGTTTTCCAGTGTTGCTTTGGCTGAACTTCTGTTTAGAAAACTGGCAGTTTCCCCTACTTTGCTTTGCTATCAAGCAAACAAAAATATTTCTGAAGAAGCTGCAAATGAAATGTGAAAGGGATGATCATGTTGAAAGCTAACACAATTAATGTTTGTCATATTAGTAAAAAAGTATATGCTTAGCTTGCCTACAGGCTCCGAAGTTCATAGAAGGGGCAGATGACTGAATGATATTGGGGGATAATCCAGATAGACTGGGAAAATATCAGGGGTGAAGAGGTTATCGTGAAGTAGTCATTGGACAGTCTATTCACCTAGTCATTCCTGTATGGGCATTTGGGCATACAGGAACTGGGTTTTTTGTTTTTTCATTTTTAAGGTAAAATTGGAAGTAGTCCCTGACCGTGGTAGGTGGTGACACATCACTGATATGATGAATTGAAGTAAAGTTAACTTCATACTTTATGTGATATTTAGTGTTAAAGAACTTGGGTATGTTGTTTATTAACAGGCTGAAAACGAGCTTTCCCTGGCAAGAAAAATGACACAGTGGAAACCATGGGAGCCTCTAGTTGATGAACCTCCTTCTGACCAGTGGAGATGGCCAATATAACGCTCAAAATGGTGAAATTAAAAAAAAAAAAAAAGTTAAATATTGACCTAATGTTGCTGACAAATGTCTTTAAATTAAAGAAAATAACTTAAAAACATGCTTTGTCTTAATATCCACTTATATTTAGCAATCTCAAGACTACTTGCGGTGTCTTGCAAAAATGGTTTAAGAATATTCTTTTCAGCTGTTCTACAGCCTTTGATTTGTTTCCTTTTGTCACTTCATGATTAACAGGGTATTTGTGCCTAATGCTGACCTGCACAGCTTTTCTTGTCTCTTAACATAATGGTTTTGCAAGCCATTTTTAATGTTTCAGAATCACTGTACAGTGTCAGTTATCATATAACTAAACTATAGTTTCATTGAGCATTTTAAGAGAGAGAAAGCGTTGCAACTGACAGTTATTCTTTTAATCTGTATTTGTGCGTTAACAAATACAGTTGTGATAGGCCATTAGAAATCAGAATCAAAGTTGTAAAAAGATGTGATCTTGCCCCTTTCTCACACCTTTTCTTGTATATTTTTTCAGCTTTATAGAGGCAGTTCAGTGTCTCTGTGAGCACGCATCCACCAGGATCAGAGTTCTGATGTGAACCTTACCAAAAAGGACAACATTTTTTAATTTTCACTGGATCACTTTCTTGATCTGGCTGACTTCACTGGCCATATAAACACTAATTCTGGCAGAGGGGAAGCAGCAAGAAGACCCAAGATGACAGAGGGAGGGACTACCCCTTTAGGTGACAGCAGGGACAGATTTCTTTATCAGCGAGTAGGTTACTGCATTTAGTGTAATCACATGGCACAAGTCTAAGTGTTGCTCTCCTTTTATATGCATAGAATTTGGTTTTATAAAGAATTTGTATATAAGCATATATCTTTCTAAATTTATTTGTGTGTAATGTATCTTGAATTAGAATATTGCCTCCTAATAAGGAGGAGGCAAAAAAAATCTTATTTGAAACATCTAGCTAGGTTCTTGTTTCATACATTCAAATGAAAATAGTATATGCCCCTTCCTCTGAAAAATTTTCTTCACTAATTTAAATTTATGGGCACCAATTAAAAATATTCAAAGCAGAGCTAAGAATACTATGCAGTTTGCCTTTGCTCATATTTTTCAGTGCCATCAAAAAAGTTGTTACTGCAAGTTTAAAGATGATAAAAATGTAACTGTGTGAGGAAAAACCTATATAGAGTGCATTAAAGGTTAGGAACGTGTCACTGCACTCAACTACATAACATATCTTGTAATAACTATTTTTTTCATAGAAGTTGTTGCAGGTTAGGACTTAATATAGACCAAATGAAAATTAGAGTTTCCGTTTGCAGAAGCCATGAAACTACAAAGCTGAATATGTGGCTTTGGACAGATTACTCCGAGTTTTTACTGCTGTTTAACCAGGAAAGCTTTGTGCTTTTTTTATTATTGTTCAAAGTCAATCTGCAGGCTTTCGAAAAGTGGATTCTGTATGAAGGGAATTAACTTGAAGGTGTATGTGGGTACCAACTGAAGTTTCTTTAAAAACAGAATGAGCTTTTTTAAACAAAGATACTACAGAGGAGAAGACTCTAAAATATGCTTTGGCTTTAATGAGTACAAAGGATACCTGGTCTAATAAGAAGACTGATGCTGGCAGTTAAATGTGTTACAAGAAAATAAGTTTTTATTCATGCAGGTTAGGATTATGGTAAAACTCAGCCTTTGTAGTGAATACAACTTTTAAGACTTCATTTGCTAAATTGTCTTGTTTAAAATGAAGAGTTTATCATTAATGCTATGCTTAATGGAGAACTAAGGCCAAAGGGAGGGAGTTCCTGTTAAAATTATTGTGCTACTAGTAGTTTGGTCCTTTTTGTGCATCTAATAAACAATTAGAGAAGTGAAACAGTTACAGTGGGTAAAAGGCTTTTTCCTAGTTTCAACATAATTGCTTATAGATAGATATTAATACAGTAGTTCTGAGGACTTGATGATCCTCCTTGTACGTACAAAACTCATGACATGTTACTGGAGTTACCTTTTGTGTTCCTGTTACATTAGAAACCTGATATCTGGCATTTGTCATGGCACATCAAATTTCATCATTTGAAGTCATTGTTTATTTTTATCTCATTTCAACTGTTCAGATACAAATAGTGTGAAAGTGTAAGAGCATACAAGCATTTCCTATTATTAGGACCTAAATTCCCAGTGCGAGGAGTCTTCCTTATTTGAATTATGGCCCTGGGATATTGCTGGAATGTAGTTGTTACTGCCTTTGATTTATATGGTAGGTTGACAAAAGAACAAACTATTACCTACTAGCTCTAAAGCTATTTTGTCTTGGTTCTTGTAAGATGATCATTTTTATTAATTCTCTCCAGTAGCATATTAAGTACTTGCTGATTTGTTCTTATTAAAGCAAAAGCCAGGAGCTGTTCAGAGGCTTCTTTTGGTTAGGAGTTTTAATTTGTATTTGGTAGGCATCTAAGATTGTGCATCTTGCAACATTGAAGAAGGCAGGGTGAAATAGGGCTGTATGTAGAAGAGCAGTGAAGTTTGTATAGGAACAGTGAAGATTGGCTGTTCCTAATTCATAGGATTGCTCACACAGATTCAAAAACATAGAGATAAATCTCCTGTATTGAAAGGTTTTACCTTTTCTGTGAAGAATTCCATTTTGCCAGGAAAAATTACTGTCAACTTGTCGTATTTTAAGACATTCATGGTAATGAAATACTCAAGGCAGTGTTCCCTTCCTAGGGCAGCCATAGCTATACACACAGTGCAGGTGTATCATAATGATATTTTCAGGTACAGATAGCTAACTGTGCATAGCCATTATGCATTTTCAGAAAATTGTGAATTACTTAAAAATAAGAGCCCCAGAATGTTATTAGTGTTGAGATAAAGGGAGTAAACTGTATAGATTGGTTTATTGGACTTGTTGTATGTCTTTTCAACATTAACATCTAAAACTTATCTTCTTCTGTACTCCCTTCCGACAATTTTTTCTAAAGAAAAATCATGTGAGTCTGTAAGAGACTATGAACTTTTCACAGAATAAATTGTGTTATAATCAAATCTGATACCTGGTAGTTGTGAGTATAAAATCTGAACGTGTAGGTATTAATACACGTATTGGCAACTAGCAATAGACACCTTCCAGACTATGAGTTTAGTAGCAAATTAATTTGTAAGACTTCTTTTATGATTTTTTGCCTTGTGTCATAAGGACTATCAGATTACCTGTGGCATTGTTGTTATTAATGATTAATTACATCTTTACATGATATTTTGTATAACAAGATATTAGAGGAGTGGGACAGCAGAAGATGGTTGAAGCAGGTAGAAGAGAAATTATAGCTACTGTAAGTTACCCGTTGCTTTTATTGATTTATTCCTCTAGCAACTATTTTCATGGCATTCTTTGACTTTCTTCTCACTGATGTTATTGCTGTAATTACATAATTCTTAAACTTCTGAAATTTTCAGATAGGCTTTTTTCAGCCTTGAGAAAGGTAAAAGCTGGCCTCTTCCAAGATGAAGCCACTAGATGGCATTCCAGAGGAGAACTTCAGTTAAGATTAACCATTACAATTTTTCAAATGGGAAATACTAAAGGATTATAAACTTGAATGAGAACAAACGATGTCAGATCAGAAATGAAGATGAATGGTTTTAGGTAACAAATATTTAGATGTGAGAAGACGCAAAATAAAAATATGAAGTCTATTATGAATTATATTGGCATGTAATGCTTGAGGAAAAGAAAGCTCCAAAAGTGTGGTGACAACTATTGGAATTCTTTCTACTCTTTATAACTGAAACGTTATCTGAACTTTCTTCTTGCTCAGTTATTTTCTCCACTTCTAAAACAGTATTTATTATGTGACTTATAATAATTCTTCACTAAGCTTATGAATTATATTGCAGGGGAGAGGAAATCTCTTATTCTTGGCCCACTGCTGGTGAAATTTGATATCTGATATTTTAAAACTGAGTTTCACTGTTCAAAAGCTTGTACACATTTTTTCCCCTTTCTCAAATGCACAAATGTGTCCTTACTAGAGGTTCTGATATAAGCTGTTTGCTATTCCGAAGGTTGGTTGGTGGGTTGTTTTTTCTTAAAGAGGTCTGTTGCCTAATTTGTATTCTCACTGATTTCTCTGGTCTATAAATGTTTCTTTCATGTGACTCAAAAATAGGATAATTTTATAAATCTTTCTATCCAAAACAAACTGAATTAGCCTTCACAAAGGCTTTAATTTGCAATCAATTAACCTGAGTTTTCAAACAGTCCTAGTGAAGACAAACTCTAGGAATCACAATTTTTCAGCTGAACTTTTCATCAAATTCTTAAAATATGTTATGATTTATTTTCAGTATTTTATCATTGGTTAAATTGACATTTGGTTTAATTATCTTAGAAAGTATGAATTAATCACATCTGTGCTACATGAGAAGATTACTAATTTAATAATTGATTTTTATGTTGTAGCATCAACATTAGTCACTGAGACTGAAAAGAGAAAAGACAATGGACTAAAGTTTTGAGGTAGTATCAGTGTATACACTTTGTAAAATGTTGTTTCAACCTTATTCCTTGTTAATTTAAAAATACTTCTTTGCCAAGAAAGGAAACAAAGTAACTTAGCTTGTTTATTAACTCTGTGATACTTAAATCCAAGCTGTAGCAGCGAACAGTACACACATTCTACAGGCAAGAGAGAATCTATGTTAGTATTGTGTTGCAAGTAATTTATTTTAAGATGAATATGCTCGTGAGGCATAATTTAGAGACTGATTGTAATGATTTTGCTTGTTTTTTTTTTCCCCCCTCCATTAACCGTGTTGAAAATCTGTGATGAAGGAAAAAATTTTATGATTATCTGCTGTAAGGTAAATCACTGTAAACCTTAGAGGTAAAAAGTTAAAATTTTAAAACACTGAGATTCTCTGATTAAAGTCATTATGTGAGTGAAAGCCATCATATCTCTACGATGAGACCTAATAATGCAAGAGATGGAGGTTGTGAAACCAGAAAAACAACTTCAGATTGCCATGTAACAGCACTACTGAGGGTTTTTATTATTCCTAATTTGCTGTCCCTAGTACCTAATGTGTTTTGAGTGACTGTGTGCTGAACAGGACACCGTTTTTATCTTAGACGTAACAGTTTCTGATGATTCGTGTTGGAAGATAAAGTGAAAGCTGCTTTCTGTTAACAGTATATAAGCCATTTGTTTATAAAGAAATGAAAATTCATTTTCCAAACTGAGAGCGAGTTGGAATGTATAATCAAGTTGATAATATGATTGTGACAGAGCAGACAGCTTTCTAAAGAGTTGCTGTGGGTGCAGAGGTCCTGTTCTGCTCTGAGTTTAAGTTCAGTCCAGGTCCTAAAACACAAATAGCATAAACAATGCTAATAGACAATTTATGTCCTTTTATTGATGGGAAGCAGGCAGTTCATATGCTTAACTATGTCTGTGAAACTTCAAAACAGTGACTGTGGCATACTGTTACATAGCAGGGGGATGTAATTTCAAGACTTGCCTGTTAAAACACGCAACTTTTTTTTTTTCAGATTTCTCCCAAAGTTTAGTGACACACAGCTATGCACCTACACAAAATGGTTGTGTGCAAAATGAATTGAGTCTCAGATTTCCTGTTGCATGCTGAAAAACTCACAGGAGTTGTCTCAGAAGTCACACATCAGACACCAGGAAATTCAGTTTCATATCTTTTTAGTTCTGGTTAAAATAGCATTTCTACTCAACAGTGTCAATCCACACACCAGGTCTGCAGACTTTGTAGGGCAGCGTACTGCTGTGTTACAATGACACCCAACTTACTAGGCATAACTAAGTGCTGAGGTACAGCTGGAGGACGATGGCTTTTACAGCAAGGGCTATCACCATTCCTTCAAAACTTGAAAACACCCTTTTCATCATCTCCAGTAAACAGTTGCATGTATGGAAGTTGCAGGTGCAATTTCAGCTAGTAGCTGCAGTATCACATGCTTACTGCACTCAAAGGGGGGAAAAAACCCAAAACCAACATTTTGTTATTAGCCCATCAGTGCCACTGTAGCTTGGTAAGAGTTTGTTTTCACCTCCTGTGAATTGTAATGGGGGAAAGGCAAAGTGTCGGGGTGGTGGGATGTGGCCGTGCTCGGGGCCCAACCCGATACTAACCCAAACAGGTAAGGCAATAGCAGAGGCGCCAACAGGCGTCGCGCGGAGGCGCGGCGCTCCGCGACCGCCTTGCGGCGATGCCCCGGGGCGCCCCGAGGGCTCAGCGAAGCCCCGCACGTCTCGCTCTCT